ATAAAGTAATGTGATACTAGAATTCGAATTAAATTACAGTAGTTATAACACGCTACGGTATTGTGTTCACATTCCACTTTGAAGGAGCCCTCGTAATCGATTATCAACCGTTCCTCATTGGTCAATGCAGTCGATAAAATGACATTAAATGGAAGGAGTGCACATAGGCTTCGAATTCAACTACACCTTTATAGCTATACAGCCTATGTTTTTTAAACCTTGAGAAAATAAAATCTAGAACTAGAGTATAAAATACAAGTGCAAAAATACAAATAAAAGTGTAATAGGACGCCTTTTATTATAACGATGGTATGAACAATTAGCATTTATCAGAAAGAAATCAAGATTTTCTATTGAGATAGGATGGAGACGGCAGGCATAATAAAAACATGCAAATCGTTTCATTTTTGATACACATCTTCGATGTTTTTATGGCTGTGGGTACAGGGACATAATTATTTATGAGCAGTCCTTACGTGTAGCATTTATTAGAGGCACTTAACATCACATTACTGCATACAAAACAAATGTATTTTACAAATAAAATTATTTATTACACTTACATTTATATACAATCCATACACACAAAATACATAGATTTGCCAAGTCAACGGAACAGAAGCTTGTTAATTTATCATTTGGTCATGAACTTTCTAATGTTTCTATAATCAATTTTAGATTTAAAATAAAAAAAAAAAACTTTATTCACAGAGAAAATCTGTACTTTGAGAGAAACAAGTGGTTTGGTCTATTTTATGTCTATATTTACCATTAAATGTTGATTTTCTGCAAATCCCTGTGCAATGTCCACTAACAACATGGACGATCACGCGTGTGAACATGGCTCCTAAGACTAAAATGTCCTGGTTAGGTTTGTACGCAAGCGTGTATGAAACACCAGGTCTTTGAGAAGGGGAAACCCACTGAGATCTAAAGAAAACGCTAAATAACTACAAAAAAAAACAAAAAAAAAAAAACGCCAAAGATTTGCAAGTCCCTATGGATATCTTCCCCCAGACTTTTTCCCAATGTATGATCGTTTAACCCAGTTTTCCAACTATTTTTTTTCATCAGTTTATGTTCCTAATACTAATTTAAGGATTATATTACTAATTTTTTGTTATATTGTACACTGAATGCACTTGGTGTGAACAGAATATTAATAGGCCTATGTATTATTTACCTAAATTTACAGTATGATAATATTCTTGCGTAGCACATAAAAAGTAGAATTTGAAATTACCGAAACATTCAAATATAAGGATTTCTGTGTGAAACCTGTAATAAGGGAGACCCCGTGGCATATACACCGTGGCGGCTACAGCGGGGGGCTTAATCCACCACCGGACAGGTCAAGCCACCCCACACCCAAGTCAGACAGAATTCGTCAGTCAGACCATTAGAAATATAAAAATAGGCCCACACCAAGCCAACACATGTCTGTTACAGGCTGAGGGTGCCATTTTCTGGTCATCAGAGGTTCCTATTCTTAAAAAATTCTCATTTAGGATGGGAAACCCCCTCTTCCATATCGTGCCTACGAGCTCTCCTCTGTCGGACAGCTTAGGCCCCCACCCAGAAAATATATCCAGGAGACGCCACTGAATATACAGTATTACTTGAATCCTGCTAAAAGGAAATCCCCAGGCAGTATTACTTGAATCCTGCAACAAAGGATACCCCCTGGCATATAAAGAATTACTTGAATCCTGCTACAAGGGAAACCCCGGGGCATAGTATTACTTGAATCCTGCTACAAGGGAGGCCCGGCATACACAGTATTACTTGAACCCTGCAACAAGGGATACCCCTGACTTGCATATACAGTATTACTTCCTGCAACAAGGGGAAATCCCGGGCAATACTTGAACCCCGCAACAAGGAAGATCCCTGGTACAGGCCTATAGACCTAATAGCATTAGTGATGTGACGTCAACAGACACGTTTGATCAGAAATAGGCATAGTTGTTATTTATAAAGCACATCCCCCTCCCCCACGCCATGGGGACTTAACTAGGACTACGCCTGGGTTGTACAGATATTCTTTCCTCTTTAGACCCGGGAAGTACGGTATCTGTTACTGAACTGGGGATGTAATAATGGTCTCAGTGGCGGCGGCAGCGTCTGAAATCGGAGAGGCATGTGAGGAGGCAAGCTACAATTTGGGGGCGGGGAAAAGGTCCCGACAAGAGCAAAGTGTGCGTGATCAAGTGTCGACTAAAATGTTTTGAAAGTTGTCCAGGGGTGGAGCTCTAAAAAATATGACAATTTAGTAATTTCAGAGGCTTATTTAAATGATTTTAAATACAGATAGTTTACTAATATCAGGGAACAGTGAAACTTTTATTTCTCCCCAACAAATTGTTGTTTTTTTTCCTTCTTCTCTGGGAAGGGGGAGGGTTGGGATGAACATTTCTGGGGGAATATTTAGCCCGAGCCGCCACTAAATGGTCTGCAAAGGGCCGGAATAATATGTAGTTGGCATTGCTCATATGTCTGCCAATATTAGCACTGTGCGGGGAATAGGCACATTTATCAATACCCAGGAAATATCGACGCAATTTAATTAAATCGGCAGCGCGAATTAGGCCTACTTTGTGTTTTACTATGTCACAATGTATGGTTAATCAAGAATCGATCCCAGGAAGGATATATAGGCTATGAGCGTGCGTATATCCTTATAACCTTTAGGCCTATTTTGTTATTTTCAAAATCACACTAAAGTGAAAACGTATTATTTTACCTATTACTATTACTTTTTAATTACTATTTTAACGAATGCAATGAAAAATCCCAAAATTTTTACTGAAGTGTAGTCTAATTGTTACGAAAGCCTATTTGAATCACTTAAGCATATAGGCCTATTAGTAAGCTAATCCAAAATTCAGATTTTAAGTAATCCGAAATTTCGATTTAGTAATCCGAAATTTTGAATTACTAATTCGATATATACATACATACTACTAATTCGGAATTTCGGATTACTTTAATCTAAATTTTGTTTTGAATATGTGTGACACACAAACACAGGTGTTGTCCTACAAACACACGTTTGCGTATGTTTTTAAACTGTTGTTTTTATAATGGTAGTTGTTTGAATGATGGTAATTGACGTCTGCAGAAACGCGTTCAACCATGACATTTTAAATGTTCCTACTACACTTACTACATATGTTACATTTCATCGAGAGACTACTATTTTCAAATATTCAAGGCACACCACATAACGGCTAATGAACTTAAAAATTGTAAATAATAAAAAGGAAAAATGTATAGTATTTGTTGTTCAAATTACTACTTTACTATGTTATAAGTAATATAAAAAATTGTACTATTTATTATTGTTATCATTATCACATAATTATTATTATATTGTAATGTAATAGGTCTTATCTATTTAAATTATGTATATTAAAAATAAGAAAAATTAAAAAAATATATACAGCTCTTTCAAATAAGATTGAAATAAATGTGGGTGTGACTCCCACGGAAGAGAAAAATTGTCAGTTCAGATTTCATTCTGTGAGTTATTAGTGGTTTTGTTTGTTATTTTTTTTAAATAATATATTTAAGTGTACAACAATTGGGTAAAGGAGATTGCATTAATGTAAAATATATTATAAATAAATAGATTCAGGATGACCAATATTATTTATCCGAAGTTAAGAATTAGATTCCATTAGGATTCAAGTAAAATATACATAAACAGATTCAAGATTCAAAAATATATTTATTTATAATACATTTTTATAACACATTTCATCAAATATCTACTCACTTCGGGACCGCTCATTCTATTGTCATTGTATGCAGATAAAGTTGTCGATTACTTCCTGAACCCTGAAGCATAACAGCATAGTACTCTATTTATAGTTTATTGACATATACAGTACATATATCAGACCTGTACTACATAAAACCATTAATGATTACACGAATGCCGCACCACGCAAGAAGAAAAGAACAAAAACTTCTTCCGATGGTCTGCTAACTTTTCCAATCACCACAAAGAGTGCAAGTAAACTGGACAACGTCGGAGGGTTAAAAGAGCCAGGACAGTGTATAAACCAATATGTTAAAACATGTATTTTGTAATGCAATATCCATCAATCTTAATTAAATAAAGTATATACACTGCAGCGTTCCTAAATCCACTTATTCTCATTATGTAGCATGTCCATTATGATCATTCACAGCACGGTTACAATTGAAAGAGGATTTAAATGGTCGTTAAAAAAACAAACAAAGGTTAATAATGATATGAATACATTTATTTCTACACGAATATCTCGGTTGTCCCTGTAGTTAACCTTCTATAAATGGATTATTTCATAAAAGAGACTATTTAAATTAAACAAGGACCACATTCAATTGAACACGAACTATAGTGAATTCAAAATGGACCATGAATTTAATTGAACATCGACAACTGTATTAAAAAACACACATTGTACGTTACCATGAAGGTATACCTCAATGAAGTTACTAATGAGCCAAATATTAAATTGAACATAGATCGGGTTTTCACTTAGACCATCCAATCAATAAAACATGGTCTACACCGTGTTAACTGAACATGGACCATGTATACAAACACCATGCATTACATTCAACAATGACTACATATTCAATTGAACATGGAACATTTGCAATTAAATGCTGATGATATGGCTTGTATAGTGCATTTATCAAATAAAATATACACAGATGTTTCTATATTTAATTATCAGTCAACAAGAAAATTAACACTAAAAGATTAATACACTACAAAAGTTATTATCCAGAGAAGCAGATTGACAACTGATGCAATTGTATGATCTAATTCAAGTCATTCTTTGTGAAAACTTATTAAAAAATAAACTTACAAAATACTCATAATATACATATTACCATGGATTTTCAGAAATTCAATAAAATTATTATACAGGAAATAGGTATCAAATCCTTTAAAAAAATCGTTAATAAAATAAAATAGAATATAAAAGGAAAATACAATATAAAACAATAATAATTAATGCTTATCTAATAAAGATATAATAAATAACTAAATATCACATAATATACCATTATCATGTTACATATTAATAAATAATTTTATATTACATGTTATATTTCCTTCGATATAATTGTAATGCTACACCTATGTAATAACCTTTGACAATACACATTTAGATGATTTACTGTTTACAAAATTGTATAATAAATTATTGGGCATTGCTTAATATAATGCTTGCATTTATAAATGCATATATGTGCTACACTGTATAAACACAGACAACTTTTGAAGTACAACAAAAAACTGTTGTATGCCCATATATAGTCATGATGTGCCTATTATGGTCATGATGTGATGTCATCATTACCATATATAGATATGTCACATGCAGGCTGGAAAGGGCTTAACTCATAATTTTATTGACCTTTGTGTAATGATAAATATAAATAAACTTGATATGCAGGAATTAAAATTGAATAATGCTGATACAGCCAATTATGCAATATAAATTTAAGGATGTTTATATTATATATGGATAACAAACGTAAACATAAACAAACTATATAAAAACTTTTTGATAAATGTTTTTGCTTGTTAATAACACTAAGAACATTTTCTATATTATATAATCATTTAAATTATTTTTTAAAAACAGAAATAAATGATGTATTTAAAAAATGGAGTGGGCAATTAATGTGCAACACAATAATGAATGTCAGGTCTCCCTCCAATTAAAGACCAGTTTTGGGACCGGGGTTTCCATGGCCTTTAGCAACTTTTGTCTCTAATTAGAAAAATAAAATACTGTAACGGACATTTGTTAATTTGGGATCACAGAAAAGTGGTTTTTAATTGGAGGTGGTCTTAAATTAGAGGGAGACTTATATAAGAATATTTCCACTTAAAGACCATTGTTGGGATCAGGGTTGCCACTGTCTTCAGTAGCTTTGGTCTCCAATAATATAGATAATAATAAAGATACTGTAACAGACATTTGCTAATTAGGGACCACAGAATTAGAGTTGAACTTTAAATAGAGGGAGCCCTGTATAAGAACCTGGTTAAGGAGACTATAGTACTGGATAACATCAACATCATCCTAGCAACAGACACCAACACCTTTCATAATCACCACCACTACCAATAGGCCAAACAAAAATTCCTGTGCTGGGGCCACATTTTGGGTAAATCCAAAAAAAGGGTAGGTTGGTAGGAAAAAGTTTTTTTTTAACCAATAGAATAGTGTGTTTACTTCTTATTATTAAGCAGCTAACTTCAATTTGAAGGCTCTGCCCCTCCAGCTCACTGAGTTTTGTATCTGTGTATCAGGCTGTGTGGTATTCTTTTTTAAGAATCTAAATAAATACAAATGAAAGAACCGAAAAATAAAATAATGTAATCAACACCACCATAACCACCACCATCATCATTACTATTATCAGCAACAGTACAAACAAAACCCCAAATCACATACATCCAATACAGTGTATCTAAATAAATACAATTTGTCATATTACTGTTATATGTCTTGCATTTTACTGAACAATATACAACTGTGCATATATAAATCCCATGTTTTATCATTTTACTTGATAGGTTACTTAAGACAGTGATAATGGGCCTTTCCAGGGCGTCAATCAAACTGACCAATGAGAAAGGTCCACTGAATTTTGGTGCTCTGGATTTTGTACACATCTTGATGGTATTGGCTACCTATAAAACTTGATGTGTCGTATGGCAGTTGTAAGACCATCGGCCGATGAATCCAACTCCACTCTCTGTGGATGGCTAGAAGAAGCGATGTCATCGCCTGCTGATTGTCGTTGGCAGTTTGAACAGATTGTCATTAAAAACAATCCCTTGCGTGCACGTCGTGGCGTTGAGTTCTCCGTAGAATCGCATAAACTGACGATTGTTGGGGGAAGTGAATAACAAGCTCTAAACATGGGTTATAAAGCAAGCATTGCCCTGTCTATATCATTGTACCCTACATCAGTCAGTCATCAAGTGGGTAAAACCACAGCATGGAATGGCAGTAAACTAAGGGAGTATACATCAACAAATGGGGTGTGAAGCCACAGCACAGAATGGCACTATCTTTCGGTAGATTTAATCGCGTTTTCCTTGTACTTCCTTAATGCTTGTTTTCTTCTGGAATCAAAGCGGGCGTTTCACTATGGAATTGCATGTCAAAGAAATCGAGAGAATTGTGCTGCTGAGGCGTCATTGCTTGCTTTCGTCTCAGAGAGCTTGATCAACATATTTCGGTTACCATCCACCGTGTTTTAAAGAACTTGTGCTTCAGGAAATATGTCGGCAAGAATCCTACAAACATTTGCAAAAAACAAATAAAAATTTCATCAAACACATCTTTTCTACTCTGTATGAAAATAGATGGTTTTGCAGATAGTTTTCAAAAGAACTGCTGTTGTGTATTATATGCCTTATTTTATAATAATAATAAATAATAATAATAACATAATAAAAATAATAATAGCAATAAGTTCAATAACAATAAAACTAATAATAATAATAATAACAATAATAATAATAATAATAATAATAATGATAAATAATAATAAAACAGTAATAATAATGATAAAAATGTTAACCTGTCTCTTATACACATCTAGATGTGTATAAGAGACAGGGCCTACAATCATTGATGTCTCTTTGGCAATTAACGCCTTCAAAACCTTTATTGAGTTGCTTATTAAATGTAGGCTACTGAATATATCCTTTCAAAAACAAAATATAGCTTAATTAGATTTTAGCATGTATCAATAAAAATATTTATTTGTCTTTTAATTTACATTTAAAGTTAGAAAGAGTAGTTGAAGTTTTGAGGTCATCACTTAGTTCATTCCATAATTTGCACCTCTGTAGGAAAGACAACGTTTTTTTTATAATCTGTTATAATCTGTTCTAGGAAGTATTAGTTGGTTTTTAGATCGGGTGTTATAAGAACTTTCTTTAATATTGAATCTACAATTTAGGTAAGCTGGTGCCAAATTATTGATAATTTTGAACATAGTGATGGCTTCACTTTGAAACAGACGCTTATCAAGATTATCTATAGCTGTGCAAGGCTTGACTTCTAGAATCTCTTCTGTTTTTCGTATAACTTTGGCAGGTGTTTTCCATAGTTTTCACAAACACAAGCTCTCTGGGGGAGTATTCCATAACGTTGCAGCAGCGTTTTAACCTCTCTTTTGTTAAAAGTAAAATTTTCATTTTTGGGCGTTTTAAATTGATTTTGTGGGTAATAGTATCTTTTAATGGATTTTGCCAAAAGAATCAAGTGGTTGGTTCCCCCTATCCCTCAAGCGTATAAAACGATCGACGTGATTTATTGACTTCGGGTTCGATGGGTCGCGTCTGAGTGCTTGAGGTATAATTTGGGTCGTGAACTAAAAAGGTTGGCGGAATTGGGGTCTATACACTGCGCACTTTCAATTTTACATGGAAGTTTTAAGGGTGAAATAGGATATGAGCAGGGGATTGTCTCCCGGGTTGTACTGCCCCACTGGAAACAAGATCTCCACAGTTCAGCTAACACACAGTGGCTACCACCAGTTTAGCTGACTGGGCTAAGCACTGGGCCACCTTTAAATTTTATTACTTACTAATATTGCAAGTGTACATATCATAATATTCAAAAGGAAGTATGTTGATGCTGTTTCTGGAAACAATAAAAAAAATATCCCGGATGGAAACATCTGTTGAAATGATTCAGAAGAGACAACTAGTGTCTGTTTGATCACCTAACTATTAGACACACTTCCAAATGAACACAATGTAATCTATTGTTTATATCTGCATTTCACATAATCAATTTACTCATAAAACTATTCTCCCAGCACTTTATTGCTCCTTTATTACGACAAAAATGATTTGGAGTATAATAAAGTCAGGTGCTTATACAATCAACGGAAATTTTAAAGTTGTAAAAGATGAAAGGTTGTCTATTATGCCTGAATCGATCACTAGAATTTGCGGTTCTTAACATCCTTTTCTTTCTTTTGCAAATATGGCACGCTGTCACTCCATCTTTATGGTAACTTTTAAACTACCAGTTTCTTCCATGAATCTTATCATTAAATAGATAGGAGTGGATATGGCAGCTGTATAATGTATTTTCTGAGGGGAGGGAGATAAACTGGCGCTTGAGCTGGTAGATATGCGCAGGGGAGGTTTGTGAGGGGTTAACTATTAAAACAGAAAAAATAAATAAATAAAAAGCAAAAAAAAGTAAAATAAATAAATAAATAATTAAAAAGTAAAAAATTATTTTTTGTTTAAAAAAAAGTAACATATTAACTAAACAATTATAATAAAAGTAGTAAATCAAAATATTTTTCTTATACTTACAATTATGTAAGCATTAATCAATTATTTACACCAAAACATATTGGTCCAGACTACAATTGAAAACTTTAGGGGGAGGGGAGGGTCCCAATTGCTTGAAACTTGTGTGAATCTGACTGTAATCAGAACATCCTCCCACAAGCAAGCAAGAATTTCCAGGAAAAAACACATCTCCTGCAAATTCATAATATTTGCAGGTTTTCACTGCTTCACCATCAGTTGTCTCATGGAAGTCAGTGCCCATGGGTATCAGTATGTGCAGAAAATAAATTTAAACGTGTTATGAAGGCTCATTAACAGATCGGTGGTGGATTCAAAGAGAGAATCAGCTGAAAAAAGAAATGAGGGGGGCGGGGAGCAAAAAAACAATTATATTCAAATTTAAGTGTGAGAGTGCCATTTGCACCCGTCATGAGATGCCATAATCATAAATTTTCCTTACCTCAGCTCTAGCCCCTCCATCTGTGAAATTCCTCCCTGGGCTTCTCTTCTACTTCAAATTCATGAATCTGCTACTCAGGATTTCATGGAATTGACTACTTTCAACTTCGACCCCAGGGCAGGTTCCCTCTTAACTCTGTGATAGGTACGTATAGCAATCTTTGTTGTCTTCCATCCCTTCATCTGATCTGATGAGTCACAACTTGTCATAAGTAAACACAGCAACAGTTTCCTACATTTTGCATCTTCCTTTTTATATCCCTCTGTAATAAATTAAAAATAAAAATATATACCGGTATATATAAAAACAAACATTTTTAAAAAGATTACTGAAGCAAAATTAAGTTCAGTTTAAAAAACATTATTATTGCTTTTAAATTTATTTGCTTTATATTTTTGACATTTTGTAAGCATAAATTTTTATACACCTAAAGCTCTGTCCAGATTATATGCCCATATATAGTGACTATATATGGTCATGATGTGATGTCATCATGCCCATATATAGTCATTACATGCCTATATATGTTCCTGATGTGACTCACCATGACCATATTAGGCATGCAATATACTGAATATAGTGAATTCCAGGATTTTTATCCTGGAAATTGGGACCCACTGTATGTTTTGAAAAAACATTGTCGGTGTTCGGTATAACTGACAGATTAATTTATAATACAAAAGATGAAAAAACAATCTTGAAAATCTAAATTGAATTTATAATACACTGAAGTGATTCGATGTCAAATTATAAAACATGATAGGCTTGACTGGAATGCATGTAGTTATAGTGGCAGAAGGCCAAACCAAGGCAATATACTGTATATACACAGCCCAGGTGTGAATGCAAATAGTGGAATACAAGCTATGCGGCTGGGTTCCAGTAAATACAGAGAATATTTTGTCATTCTTAACGCGTCCTACAAAATTCATCGAGACAGCTAGTCCGTGAATTTGTGAACAAGATCGGAGATTTAAAGATGCAATCTCTACCGTGGATTAATGGCGGCGCTGGATCTCAATAGAGATTCTTAAATAATATATAAGTTAGAAAGGCAAATGGGAAAAACCCATAAAAAAGCAAACGGCCATATAATGCAAAACAATTTAAAATTAAAATTAAAACGGAACAGTAGAGAAAATCCGATCAGAATGACAATAAACTAAGCACCCACTGGAAGGAATATATATATATATGTACATATATATTTATATATATACATATATAACAACAAAGAATTCTCAATAAAAATTTAAATATTTCAGTCTTGAACACAGTATACAGTAATGCGGAACTAAACAAATGCAGGCAAATAAACCAAAAGGTATGAATTAGGGCAATAAAATAATTTAGCAAGTCACTTTGAAGTTTCCAAGCCCTTTCAACAATCCCTGTAAACGGAAGTTGTTATCAAACTTCAACAGCTTCAACAAAACCAGTGTTAGGACCCTGAAAACCAAGGAATACTAACTGGAAGCAAGTGTCCTAACCACCAAGCTATAAGGAAACAAGGAATATTTATCAACAATACAAAATGATGCAGTCAAAACTTGGTCAAGGTCTAATATCAGTGGGTTGATAGATAAAAATTAATATGTTATATTACAGATATTAAACAAACTAAACATCAAACATACAAACCAAAAAAATTAATGCAAAATGATGCCGTGAAAACTTGGTCAAGGTGTAAAAAAACAGTGGGTTAAAATATACATAAAAATTATTAATATGTTATATTATAGACATTAAACTAACTAAACATAAAACATACAAACCAAAAAAATTAATACAACATGATGCCGTGAAATCTTGTTCGATCTGCCAACCTATGCCTATGGTAGGTTACATAGGTACTTGCAACCTGAAATAATTGAAATGCGGGCCGGCGGCCAGCTGAGCCCCCGCCGGGGTCCAGGGTCGGGGCCCCGGTGGGGGTGGGAGAGAACCCCCTGGGTATTCTGACGATCTTAGCATTTTTAAGCGGTTTTTACGGAGTTTATTGACAATATCAGGTACATAAACAGATTTAAAATTTCAAAACGTTTGTACAATGTGTATTTAGGCTTCAACAATACTATATTGCAAATGCATCAATAGTCAATTAATCAATTGATTGAATAACGCTTTTGTATCATCGGCATACCTTTTTAGAGTGTAACCTTACAACGACTAGACAATAATTAATTGATAACGAGAAAACACAAAATAAAAAATTTAAAAAAAAATATGTTCTCTCTCTTACAAAGTATAATGAAAGTAACCCGATAAAAAAAAATCAATAGGAAAACTAGGAGGAACAATGCATGGAAAAAATGGGGGAAAATAGCCTGGGGAATAACTCTCTAGGTAGAAAAAAAATTCATGGGGAAAATTAGCAGGTGGCACCGTAATAGTGCTATATTCTGTAAATTAAAGCCTCAAACCACCACGATTTTGAGTCTACTAAATTAAAAATTCTTTCCAGGCTTTTCCAAGATATAGCTAGAACTTAATCTTTGGCGTTTTTTAAAAATTTACACCAGATTATTATTTTTTTTTAGATTTCAGTGGATTAACCGACTCAAAGACATGCTTGCGTACAAACCAAACGTTTTTCTTATAACGTTCTTCAAAGGAGTATACAATTTTTATTATATTTTATAATTCAAAATCACCATAAAGCAAAAACTTATTATTTTAACTATTAACACTACTTTTGAAATTAATTATTATTTTAACGAATGCTATGAAAACAAACTTGGTTCTTTATTAGGGTTGCTAACGTTCTTGTAGACCTAGAGCTTAAAACCTACACACATACTCAAAAGTTAGAATTTCAATTTCATCAAAAATTGAGAAATAATCACCGAGCACTAAGACTGCAAATGAATACGATATCAAAAGAAGAACAACGAACAGGAATGGTATGTGAATTTCAAATCGGTATTGGAAGTGGAAAGAGAATTAAAAAACGATACTGGAAAATTGAGAAGATATCTAATTAAAGTATAATACTGTATTACAGCCAGTAGCAAGTTTTCCAGGCCTGTTCAGTATATCCAGTGGGTGGGGTGGTGCGATGGGTCCACATTTCCAACAGACAAGAGCGTACCAGTACTGAACAAAAACATTTGTGATTAAAAAAAAATTTAAATTTTTACATTTTAACCAGTAAAGTTATTGTGGATTGGTTAATACTATAAAGCCCTCAATGGTAGGACATAGAACCTAATGACGTCACTAAAAGTCATCTGCGCATGCAAGAACATAACATTGAGTTCTCGCGGTCGCGTTGAATCTAGAACACAATTCCAATCTATGTATGCAGAGAACGCCCGAAAGGACGGTTACTCAAAAAGCGAAAGCTTCCTATTGGTCCCCCACCTTAGGGAATTTCCTGCAGGAAGTCGAATTCCCTAGCTGTCCCCAATGGATCTTGTATGTATATTAGTTGTTCCAATCGGAGGTATTTTTAGCTTGTAGAAAATCATTCAAATTAGTATTTTAGTGCCGCCGCCACTACATTTTCCTCCTCCCAGTGGCATAGGTATGGGCACTGCAGCTAGTGCTAAGCTCTTGGGTCCGGGGCTATTAGGGCCCCCTTTCAAAAGTCCTCTACAATTCATACAAAAAAAAGTTTCATATTTTAATTTTAATTGAAAAAAATGAAAAGCCAAAAACTCAAGATATTTGAGGTGATATTTATAGATTATTGTGTTCATTGCATTTGTGTATTCTCTGATTTATTCTTAACAAAAACTGAAAATGTTTATCAGTACCTAAATTTTTTTTCAAATTTAATCAACTGTGGCTGGTATAAAGCTAAAACATCAGAGCTTCCAGGGACTTGGTTGGAGAGAGGAAAAGAAGAGTGTCCATGATTACTAGTTATCAAGTTCCTCTAGTCCCAGGTTATACTGTATGAGGTTAAGTTGTTTGCACTTTAAGAAATGGAACTTGATTGCATTTACCACAAGATTGGAGTTTCGTTTTTGCATTATTGCATCCGCCTTTGACAATGTTTTTTTTAGTTGTTATTAAGCACAGAGCAGTTTCTTGCAACATTTATACTATATACATAGCAATTTATTATTATTATTATTATATTATTATTATTATTATTATTATTATTATTATTATTATTATTATTATTATTATTATTATTATCATTATTATAATTTGTATCTATCTTATTTGTATTCTTTTTATTTTGTTTATTATTCATTTTGTTTTATTTTTATATTTTTAACTGACAGAAAATACAAGTAGTAATGAATGCCTGAACTGATATTCTGAGCATTTCATATCACTTTCAATAAAAAAGAGATATCATAAATAATTCATAAATTTTGTTACCCGACATATGTGTGCAATGAAATTATTGCATCAAACCCCAACTGTGACTTGGGCTAGTGATGCCTCGGTTGACAGTTCATATCAAAGGGCCCAGTAATTAATATTGCACAAGGGCCTGTCACTGTCTAGCTATCATGCCATTGCTGCCTCCACATCTTCATCATCATTATTAAGTTTCCATAATAAAACAAGGAAAACTATGACTTCAGATTGTATTCTTATATTAATCGACATCTAAACTTACGTTCCATGAATCAAAACTGGGACCCCTCCCCCCGCCCATCTAAAATTTGTCTTCCAGCAGCAAAACAACCACAAATTATGGTTTCTTCTTACGCCCCCTCCTGCATACCCTAGGACCCCCATCTGTGTCATAGTCAGGGTGAACTCTGGATCAGTGCCTCCCATTGGTACTAAATTTTGTGAGACTATTGATAATACAGCCCCACTGAAACATGGATAAACGTTATATTACTGGGTCCTCTCCTGTTTATTTTATATATTAATGATATCCTTCCGTTCACTAACTTGCTCAATTTCTTTCTCTATGCCGATGATGAAACGGTTTTCTATTCTAACCAAAATATTCAATCATTATTCGATACTTTTAACTCCAGTTTGATTCACATGTCCCAGTACTTTTCAGCAAACAAAATTTCAGTCAACTACAAAAAATGTAGCTTCATCCTGTTTGGGACCCCAAAAGGCTAAAAAATATCGACATTTCAACATACAAAATTTTTATTAACAATCACGAAATACCTTCTGTTCAATCTGCAAAATTTTTAGGAGTACACTTGGACAGTGGACTCACCGTCATGGAAAGTTCACATAAGTGAAGTTGAGAGTAAAATTTCCAAAAGCCTTGGTATCATATCTAGACTCTCTTCCTTTATTCCCCGTAATGTTCTTCGCATTCTCTACTGCTCTCTCATTCTTCCTTACTTGAACTACTGCAACATTGTTTGGGGCAATACATATCCATCTAACATCAACAAACTTCAATTTCTTCAAAAAAAAAGGCTATCAGGATCATATCTGGCTCTCCCCCACGATCTCATTCTTCCCATCTGTTTTCCAATCTAAATCTTCTAAAATTAAACGATATTAATTTAGTCCAGCAAAGTATATGTGTATACTCCGCCATGCATTCGATCCTTCCCAAGCATTTAAGTAACATGTTTATGTCTAATTCCTCTTTTCACAATTATTATACGCATTCTAGAATTGATATTCACATCCCTTATCACAACACAAACTATTTCCAACACAACGTTAGATATAAGGGCCCCTCTATTTGGAACAATCTACCATTCTCAATTACCAATGCTGTTTCTGCCAGAGCCTTTTCTAACAAACTGAAAATACACTTAATCTCAAATTATTAAACTTTCTGTGGTTGAAATTCGTCGTGCTGTTTTGTTTTGACCTGCTTTCTCTTCTTTTTTCTATATATATCTTTTTTTTATTTATTTATTCATTTATTTATTATATTTTATTTATTTATTTTTTAAATTTTTATTTATTTTTATTTTTATTAATTTTTTTTAAATTTATTTTTTTTTTTTTTTCAGGCCTGCCCATCACAAGATGTTTGTTTTTGCAAACAACTTCTCGGGACCTGGCCTTCTTCCAATTTTTGTATTTTGTATTTGTAATTTTGTATTTGCCTTTGGAAGAAAATAAATGTTTTGTTGAATTGAATTGAATTGAATTAAAATATATAGGCATAGATAGAATTGTAACATTTTAGCTTCGGAATGATCAACTTCATGTTAAAAAGCGCTCTATGCTACCAAATGGACCTGCCACTTTATCATCGGAGGGAGTGGGCTACTGAATGATCAACTTCATGTTAAAAAGCGCTCTATGCTACCAAATGGACCTGCCATTTTATCAGCGGAGGGAGTGGGCTACTGAATGATCAACTTCATGTTAAAAAGCGCTCTATGCTACCAAATGGACCTGCCACTTTATCAGCGGAGGGAGAGGGCTACTGAATGATCAACTTCATGTTAAAAAGCGCTCTATGCTACCAAATGGACCTGCCACTTTATCAGCGGAGGGAGTGGGCTACTGAATGATCAACTTCATGTTAAAAAGCGCTCTATGCTACCAAATGGACCTGCCACTTTATCAGCGGAGGGAGTGGGCTACTGAATGATCAACTTCATGTTAAAAAGCGCTCTATGCTACCAAATGGACCTGCCACTTTATCAGCGGAGGGAGTGGGCTACTGAATGATCAACTTCATGTTAAAAAGCGCTCTATGCTACCAAATGGACCTGCCACTTTATCAGCGGAGGGAGTGGGCTACTGAATGATCAACTTCATGTTAAAAAGCGCTCTATGCTACCAAATGGACCTGCCACTTTATCAGCGGAGGGAGTGGGCTACTGAATGATCAACTTCATGTTAAAAAGCGCTCTATGCTACCAAATGGACCTGCCACTTTATCAGCGGAGGGAGTGGGCTACTGAATGATCAACTTCATGTTAAAAAGCGCTCTATGCTACCAAATGGACCTGCCACTTTATCAGCGGAGGGAGTGGGCTACTGAATGATCAACTTCATGTTAAAAAGCGCTCTATGCTACCAAATGGACCTGCCA